ATTTTTAAATGTGACGAAGTGCCCTCTCCCCTCCACCTTGAATACGGACTGCAATTAGTGACTTGTGTCCAAACAGCAAAGGACAGGCGTGTCTCTCTTATGCTGCTTACATCTCACTGGGGTGGGGGCGGGGGGGGGAGAAACAGGCAATGAGCAAAGAAACAGGTAAACACATACAAATATACAAAAGAAAAAGGAAGGGACAGTAACACTGTAGGGCAGAAGTTTGGCTAAAACTTCCTTGGCCAGGAGGGGCGCCTGGGTGGCTCAGTCAGTCGAGCATCTGACTTTGGCTCAGGTTGTGATCTCACAGTTTGGTGGGTTCAAGCCCCGTGTGGGGCTCTGTGCTGACAGCGTGGGGCCTGGAGCCTGCTTCAGATTCTGTGTTTCTCTCTCTCTGCCCCTCCCTTGCTCACACTGTCTCTCTTTCAAAAACAAATTAAAAATTTTTTTTAAAAGCTTCCTTGGCCAACATCACCAGTGATAGGCCACGCTGGCGGTCCCCCCGTGACAATACAGCACTTCACCCCAGTGGTCTGCCTCCCCAAGATCCATAGCCCCAAGTCTACTCATGAGAAAAACATCAGAAAAATTCTCACAGTGGGGAATCCTACAAATACCTGACCAGTACTCCTACAAACCGTCAAGGTCATCAAAAATAAGAGACGTCTGAGAAACTGTCACAGCCCAGAGAAGCCTACAGAGACATGACGACTCAAAGCAATGTGGGACCCTGAGACAGAGAAAGGAAATTAGGGAAAAACCAGTAAATTCCAAATAAATACAACTTTAGTTCTAATAATATATCAGTTAGTTTCTTGGTTCTGACAGTTTTTTTATAAACGTGAACTTCAGAACCCAGGTGACAGAGACGTGTTTACTATAAAATTCTTATAACTTTCCTGTTTTTTTGAAATACTGTCATCTACAAAGTTGGAAAAAAAGACGTGCCACATTTTAATGGCCATCGCTGGCCTCCCTCCACTGTAAGAGATTTGACAAAATGTGTCTTCTTACCTTAGGTGGAACCCAGTCGGCTGACTCACCATCGTCGAGGCTATAGTCTACCTCCACCTCACAAATGTTTGTGGTAAGAGTCCAACTCCTACACAGAGCAGTCTGGCACCGTCCATCAAAATCACAAGTGCACACACCCTCTGACCCGGCAATTCCACCAGCAGACGCTGTCTTCTACAAGGCATAACCTACACAGGGGTCTTCGATGGGGCAGCCGACCGCCCACAGACTGTCTGGAAACACTGTTGGTGGTCACAGTGGGGGCCCCACTTGCAGCTAGCGGATCAAGGCCAGAAACGCTGTTGAACATCCTACAGTGAGATGTTCCACATCTCACCACAAAGAACCGCACCCAAATGTCAACAGTAACAAGGCAGAGAGAGCCCAGCCTCCGAACACACCGTCGGGAGCGCAGTCTCCTCCCGCAGCACTGCTTTCAACCAGAACAGACCAGGGGCACCCGGGGGGGATCAGCCGGTTTAGGCCTCCAACTCTTGGTTTCAGCTCAGGTCACACTCCAACGGTTCATGGGGTGGAGCCCCACGTTGGGCTCGGTGCCGACAGTGCAGGGCCCGTTTGGGAGTCCCTCTCTGCCCCTCCCCCACTCAAATACATAAAGAAACCTAAAAAAGAAGAAGGCCAGAAATACTGGAGATTAGTGAGATATGGACATGAGAGAACAGAATGTAGCTCTGAAAAGAGAATGAATAAGCTGTGAGTTGGGAAAGGACACGAAAAGCAGAACGAGAAGGCAAGGTGCACCGAGGGCACTGCTGTTTCTGTAAAGGGAGAAACCGCACATGTGTATCTGCTCATACAGACATTCAGAGTTACAGCACGATTCCCAAGAAATTAGTGACAGTGGTTTCCTCTCGTTGGCAGGGGAGCTGAGCAGAGGACAGGAGGGGGAAGGAGAGAGTTTATACCTGCTCATAAACCTCTTTTTGATTTTTGAATCCTGTAAATGTATTACCCACGTGAAAACAATGTCAAATCAACTGCAACTTTTCGTAAGGATGTATTATCCCGGTCCTTCACCGTCAGCACACTCCTCCTTCAATTGAGAGCACCACAATTTGTATTATAAGAAGCAGTTTAATCAAAGTAAAATTTGAAACAAAACTACCTCCCACTCTCAACTGAATCTACAATTTTATAGCTGACCAAAATCTGACATTTTACTTTTCACCAACAATGTGTAAAACCAATCCAACAACTTTCACAGGAGCGTACAATGTGTTTCGATGCCCACAGTTCACAGCAACAGACTCGGGGCTCTCCCGACCCGTCCTTCTCCAGCCCCAGCCCGCACCATCTCCCAGCTTGGATTTCGTACGGTCTTACAATTGTAGCTGACCAGTGCGGGCTTACTCTGACACAAAGGCACGTTCGCTATGAAAGAAACAATGCCTTCCAACATACCCTGCTGTGATGCATGTGCCCCAAATCATCAAGATAATACTCTTCGACTGAATGGGGCTTTCCTTCCACTTCAAAAACATACGCAGGGTTCATCTTGTTCTGGACAGGAACAGCAAAGTAATCTGCAAACTCTTTGCAACTGATGGTGGCCGACATGAGGATTATCTGCAGAAGAGAAACCATTAGAACAAACGAGCAACAACAACAACTAAATGTGATGTTGTTAAATTACCAAGCTTGTCTTCTGCTTTAGTAATTTTCAAAACTTCAGTATGATACATTGACTTATAATGGAGTACAAATTCTTACAGCTGAACGAATGCTCAGAGACAACCAACTTTTACTACTTCTCCTAAATTATTTTATCAAGTGAGAGACTACAATAAAGCTAACCTATGACCACTTATCTAAAAGGAACCTTTGCATCAGAAAACAAAAGTAAAAACGAGCAAGTTACTAGATGAGGTGTTACAGAAACGCCAGGGAGCAGAACAGCAAAGAGGCAGACGCGGAGCCAGAAAACCCCGGCTCTGAGCCACAAATCTGGAGCAGTCGGTCCCAGGGCCACAGCGGAGAGAAACCAGCCTAGGCCGAAGCAGGACACAGAGGCTTGGGGACCCACCACAAGTGGTCAGTTGTGCCAGGAAGCAAATACGGGATGTCCTCCGTGAGAAACTCTGTGTCAAAGCCAGGAGCAGCACCCACAGCACCCCAGATGTGCAGCAGACAAGGCAGCGGTGCCACAAAGGACACGCGCCATCCGCCAGTCTCTGAGACGCTCACCGGGGGTAAACCCAACTCTCGGCCGGCTGCCGACGACCCAATGCGTTACTGTGTAAACAAAATACGTGTATTTTCCCCTAAGATGTTAGATCCAAATGGTAGAAAGCATATTAACCAGAACTCATTTAAGATGAGTTGCTTCAGGGGCGCCTGGGTGGCGCAGTCGGTTAAGCGTCCGACTTCAACCAGGTCACGATCTCGCGGTCCGGAGTTCAAGCCCCGCGTCAGGCTCTGGGCTGATGGCTCAGAGCCTGGAGCCTGTTTCCGATTCTGTGTCTTCCTCTCTCTCTGACCCTCCCCCGTTCATGCTCTGTCTCTCTCTGTCCCAAAAATAAAATAAACATTGAAAAAAAAAAATTTAAAAAAAAAAAGATGAGTTGCTTCAGATTGGAAGGAAGCCTCTGAGAAGCCATGTGGCCCCCACGGGGCATACTCGGTCCCGGCAGATGCTCTCTAAACTGTCTTCCGAGGGACAGTGAGGCTGATGGCGTGCGGGGCCTCTGTTCGGTTGAGGCGGCATGCGGACATGAGGCCAGACCGGACTGCTCAAGGCCATCGAGACTCCTCACTGCCACCAGCCTCTCCTCCAGACAGACAACTCGGCAGCCTGCTCAAGACACCAGCGTGGGACTGACCTGAGTGTGATCAGCCAACAGTGACAGCGGGGCCAGCAGGTGTGGGGACGGCCCAGAGCCAGGAACCTCTAAGGGTCTGTGCGGCAGAGGAAGGGGAGACCTTCAGGCCCATCTTCCCACGCTCCCGAATCTGTCTCTGACAGCAACTCTCTTTTTAAAAAGTACTAAAAAGAGAATTTTTGAGCATTTCAAAAAACTCAGTATAATGCCATCTATAACTTGATTTCTCATTTCTTGGCCCAGAAAATATTCTGCTTCATAGCTTTAACAAATGAAGAAAATACTGAAACCAACCAATGGTTTCCTACCATTTTTATAATGGGAACCAAATTCCTGCCCACCATTTTCAGCAATGTGGTAGACTTTTTTTAAGTAGGCTTCGCACCCAGCGCAGGGTCCAGTGTGGGGGCTTAAATTCACCATCAAAACCTGAGATCAAGACCTGAGCTGAGACTAAGAGTTGGATGCTTAACCGACTGATCCACCCAGGTGCCCCTAAAAACAAAGTCTTAAAAAAAAATTATTCCTAATGACTAAGTAATTTGCATGTTACAGAAATTTATGCTGATATGTTAGACTATGAAGTTTCCAATTTTTCTTCAGTTTCCATCATTTCAATGGTATCATGTGACCTGAGTCAAAGTCAGACACTCAACCGACTGAGCCACCCAGGCGCCCCAAAATGAAGTCTTAAAATGACAACCAAAAGGTCCCAAATTGTTGAACAATCTTTAATGTCATCTTTAAGATTCCAAAAAAGGAACAGAACGGCCAAATTCCTGCATTCGTGCTACAATCGTGTCAAGCAGTGACACAATCACAATTTTCAGATTCCATCTGTCTGGCGCCCACCAGGTGAGCCTTCTGCGGCAGACGGGTCTCATCCTGGGAGCGGAGTCCCAAGAGATGCTTCCCTAAGCAGATGAACAGACGGAAGACTGGCAGACAACTGCTTTCCAACAGCAGCAAAGCCCGTCACAGCCCTTTCCACGAGGCCACACTCCAGCCGCGGCCACCCTTCGGAAGCTGCTCCCCACACACGGGGTGGCCTACATGGGGAACACGTAATTATCACAACCCTCCGCTAGTTCAGTCGAGTTCACGCCCTCCTCCTTTCAGTTCACGTGATGCAAACAGCGATCACCATCCCGACGGACTTTCAGTCAACTCAAAACCCAAGTCTTTAAAACAGCAGCGCACAGAACTGTCCTCAGGGCGCCTGGGTGGCTCAGTTAAGCGTCTGACTTTGGCTCAGGTCACGCTCTCACGGTCCGCGGGTTTGAGCTCCGCGCCGGGCTGGGCACTGACAGCCTGGAGCCTGCTTGGGATTCTCTCCCTCTCTCTCTATGCTCCTCCCTGACTCATGCTCTCTCTCTCCAAAATAAATATACTTTATAAAAAATTTTTAATTAAAAAAACCCTCAATTCCTCTTCTGGTGTCGTTTTTAGAACAAAGACTGCAGATGTAGTCACATACCTCCAAACTGTGGTAATTATTCAACCAAAAGCAGTGATCCAACACTCAGTATTTCATTAGAGTCAACAACCATCACATCACTTTCTGCCTGGAGAAAATTTCCGAATTTAATGCAACATAATAATCCAAAAAAAAAAAAAAAAAAGATTCCACACTCCCATCCTGAGGGAATGCCCTGGAGCCAGCTTCCTGGCCAGATGTGGAGGAGGACACACAACAACAAATGTCAAGAGTCACTGCTTTCGATGGTTTCTGAAAAAACGAAGAGACACAAATCCAAATCATAAACCTTAACCCTGAATATTCCTGTTACTCAGGAAATCAGATTTACCTTCACAAAACGCGAATTTGTTCTCAGAAGTTTGCGGACTACCAACAGCAGGAAATCCATTTCTTCGGTCCGTTCGTGTACCTGCAAAATAGAAAAGTGGGGCGCCCCATGTGGCAGCCAGCAACGCACATGACCGCGGAAGCGGCTCTGATGGTCGCCGGGAGGCGGGGGGCAGGGCAGCTGGCTCTTCTAAACGCGCTTCCTCTGGGCGGACCGGACGGCTAAGAGGAAGCCGGGCCGCCTGGCCCACGAACGAGAGGGCACAGAAGAGGCCCGGGTGGGTCTCTTCCCCCTCGGTGCTTCTCTCTGGGGCATCTGGGCAGAGAACTTAGCATCTCTGGTCCCGCGCGTGCAATGCCAGTGGTGCCCCCCGGGGTCACGGAGTCCAGCGGAACCATCCCCACCCGTCCCCGGTGGCACAGACAGCCACCGGACCCACCTCCTCTACTTTCCCCTGCCAACCACACGCTCCCCTCAGTCTCCAGCTGCACCCAGGCTGGCAAGTGAGCACAGGGCGGAGGCTGAGGCCAGCGTGCCCGCTCCGTGAGACGCAGAACCGTGGCGACCGAGGGTGGGCCGGGTTGGCTGTGGCACGGTCAGGTCAGCCACAAACGGGCAAGCAGATGGAGGCTAGGAGCCGAGGGCACCAGGGGGAGCTGCGGGCGCTCGGGGTCACCCTGGGGAGCTGGCGTGGGAGCTGCAGCCCAGGGAAAGCAGCCCCGTCCCCACCCTCCTCTACCTCCCCCCCCCCCCCCGCCCCTGGCGAGGCAGGCAGGGCCCCCACGGACCCACAGCTCCCTCAACCTCCCCTGCTCTGCCGGCCCCAGGCCAGCCAACGGCAAACGTTTGGGTCACGTGGGGCTGCTTTTCTACAAGAACTGTCACTCAGCCGGGGTAACTCAACGCACAAGGGGACAGTAAGATTCGATTCTGGGACATTTTGCCGCCAAAGTGGAGAGACTGGCCGCCGAGTCCAAAGGCGGGAGCGCTCCTCCCCTTGGTGTCCAGGCCCAGTCATTATTCCACAGCCACATCTGCCCCTGGTCCCGCTCCTTCCTCACTCCCCACCGAAGGGGAGCCGCGGGGGAGCGGGACAGGGAAAAGAAAAGAAGAACAGCACCTGAAAAGTATTGAACGTTCACATGAGTGGCCGGACATCCCAGGGACACCATTATAAATGTAATCCTTATTTCATCCTATCACCAGACTCCGGAACACCTCAGCACAAACACCCCGTCTCCTACTCGAGAAAGAAAAGTAAAGGCTCTCATCAGCCAAGAGCCCCCAGGTGACTTCTCCTCAGCGTTCAGTTCCCCGCGGCCACCACACCCTGACTTTCTAGACCCGGCTTCTCCCCAGGTTCTCGGGGCCATCCGGCCTCCCTCTCCTGCCCCGAGGACCCCACAGTCCTCTCCCTGCCACCGGCCAACACACACCTCAGCAGGGATCTGTCTCCCCGGGGGAGTGGCTGAAGGGAGACACCACCAGTCATGTGTTGATAATCTCCGCCCGATGAGGCCGGTACTGGGAAAATGCTTATTGAAGGAATGGTTACCTGAAGCCACTTTATTCTTTTTCAAGAGCTGACAAGTTAAAAACATTATCATCCCGTTTTCAACAGCCTGGCCGTCTTCAACCTTTGCTCTTAGATTGCCTTTGAAATTCAAATCATCCCACCATTTAGGAACGATATTGCTTATAAACCTAAAATTTCAAGCATATCCAATCCATTCTTCGCTGAGGCAGGTAATTACCAGCATGCCTACTAGGTGCAGGGGACACAGGTGCAGAGCCAGAGGCTGTGGTGGCAGGGTGACAAGACAGCCTCCGCTAGCCATTGCTCCCCGGGACAGGCCCTTGCTCCGGGAAGGAACGAAGTCAGTAACGCGGGAGGACAGGTGTGCCCTCACCACTCAGGGACGTGCATACAATCCCAGTCAACGGTCAGAAAGACAGCGGACACACAGAAAATAAATGGGGGCACCGGCAGCAGAGCTCTCGAGTGAACTGCCCAGGGCGAACGCCACGAGGCCGTTTGCTGTCGCCAGCCTGTAGTATTAAGGCTCCGGGAAGTATTATGTACTGGGTAATGGCACCTTTGGATACACTGCCCGTGAAATTGCATTTCATCTCTATCTAATCTAAAGACACTCAAAAATAACCATCATAAAGAAAAACCCTGAGCCAGACTGTACGTCACGCTATTTTGCAAAGGACAAGAGATCGTCTTCCTACCTTCCACTCTCCCAAACATCTCCTGGTAATGTAAAACCACGTTTAGCTGCGCACACACTAGCAAATGCACCTGCTCGGCCCCTCCTCCAGTAGGTCTGAGTGCTGTTGACCATCACACGCATTTCAACAGAGTGGAACGCTGACCCTCCACAGCCGCCCGGGCAGTTTCCCATCAGCCTCTGTCTCTAGCCCCATCTCCAACCTTCCACAAATCTAGCTCTTTGCCGATGTTTTTCATGCCTCCAGAAAGGCGTAATTACTGACGGGCTTTAAAAGTCAAGACTGCGGGGTCAGGCATTTCCAAAACTCCTGGGAAAGAAAACTCAACACAACATCCTCCCACCACAAAAAAAACTCGTTTAAAATATAAACAAAATCAATCAAATATTCCATCCTGAGAAAAATCCAGAAAGCTAAGACTGGCACAAAGACTCTTTACTAGAGCTTCTTAAGAAAGGAGACTATATCAGTATCTCACGTGTACTTTATTTTCTTAAAAAAAAAGCACAACTGTCCTCATTTTACTAGATGGAAAATACCTGCATACAATGAAAGTTCTTCTGAGTGTCTGATGTGACTAACACTCTAAACCAGGGCTCGGCAGACTTTTACTGCAAAAGGCAGGTAGTGAGGACGCCCGGCTGCTGCAGCCACGCCTCTCTTTAGCACCAGCAAACAAGCCAAACTGTGTTCCCATAAAACTTTACGTACGAAGGCAGGTGCCAAATTTGGCCCGAGGGCTGGAGTTTGCCAACCCCGCTCTAATCAAGGAACCTGGTCACAGTCCTCAACCTCCACACCTGTGTTTTAGAGCTAAGCGCCAACAAAAAAAAACAAAATCAACATCTAGCAATAGAATAAAGCAGATACAGACCAACGGCACGACACTTTACAAGGAGGGAACGTTTACAATAATTTGCACATTGTCTGTTCTCTTACAAAATAAGAACACGAGCGTAAGGGCAGAGCTGTGTTCAAGAAGCGCGCACCTCATCGACGAAGATGTGGGTGAACTCCACCAAACTCTTAGTACTGACTATTTTCTGAAGCAGGACTCCCGTTGTCATATAAATTAACTTGGTGTCTTCTGTTGCTATCTTCTCTAACCCTACCTAAAAGCAGAGAAGGAAAAGAAAAAGGAGAAAACTTTCAGGTTTCAATGGTTCACATTTAACTACCAAGAAGGTTATGTCCACACTGGACCTCCATATTGGAGGTAAGTAAGTAAGGGAATAAAAACTAGAGGCTCTAAGTTAAAACTGTCATTCTCAGGCACCTGGGTAGCTCAGCCAGTTCAGCGTCTGACTCTTGATTTTGGCTCTGATCACGATCCACGGTTCATGAGTTTGAGCCCCACACTGGGCTCTGTCCTGACAGTGCAGAGCCTGTTTGGGAGTTTGTCTCCCTCTCTCTCTCTCTCTCAAAATCAACATTAAAGAAAAAGAAACTTAAAAAAAAAAAAACCATCATTCTCAAGATGATTTTTTTCCTTCTCTTTTTCAGGGGGTGGGGGGAATGTGGCTTATCTAGTCATACTGCCTGTACCATTTTTATGTTAAGACCATAGTGTATGAAGACATCTACGTACAAAGATAAAATCACAAAAACCATGAGTCTCAGGATTCTGGCTCCTTTCGTATTCAACCAAGAAAGAAATAGAAGTTCTAATCAAAAAATTCAGTTTCACTGCTTTTTAAACATTATTATTATTATTTTCTTTTTAGAGAGAACGCATGGGAGCAGGGGAGAGGGGCAGAGGGGGAGAGAGAGAGAAAGCGGAGCAGAGGGAGAGAGATAGAGAGCAGAGCCCGACCCGGGCTCAATCCCACAACCCCAGGATCACGACCAGAGTCAAAATTAAGAGTCAGCTGCTCAACTGACTGAGCCACCCCGGTGCCCCAAGTTTCACTGTTTTTTACATTACACCACAGGTCTGCCCTGTAAGCAACTGGTTTCATTTCAATTTCCAGCAGAAACCGTCGACTTCTACAGAATAAAACACTCACGAGGAAAGAGGTGGCTTGCTCCCGGCCTCACCTGATAGCCCACCAGACCACCGAGCGTCCAGGCGCGCTCTTTGCTGATCCACCTGGCGATGCTGGTGGCCCCTATCTTCCGGGGCTGGGTGACCACAATGTTGCAGTAGGCAGAGCGCTGAACGTAATGGTCCAGGATATACTGTGGCAGCTGAGTGCTTTTGCCACTACCCGTGGCACCGTGTATAATCACCACAGAATTACTTTCTATCAGAGAAATAACCTACAATTTAAGAAAAATTCTTTTGAGATTGCCACAAAGGTAACGACGACATACAGTATTATCTACGAACCGAAAACTTTACCTGGGGAGGATGTTCAGGACTTATTTTCCTTTCCTCTTTAAAAGTTAGATTATTACGTAACCATCTAACCGTCACAAAAGAGCACGAAGGCTGCAAATGGTTGCCACCCTGAAAACCACTGTGACTGCCGTGAACAGGAACAGCTCACGGCTCTGGAGAGCCAGGCCAAGGCAGCCACGGGGCCCCAGGGCTCAGTGTCTTTATGCAGAGATGAAAACACCAATTTCTAGAGCTCTCGCTAAGTTTAAATGTCTAGTATTTTTAAATCTTGTAACGAACCTTACATAATTCTTCTGAGAAACACGAAAGCATTGCTGCCATCACCTCAAGTGGTTTTAACATTTCATTTGAAATTCCGCAGATGCATTTTCAAATAATTAACTTCTACCGTTCCACTCCCAGACCGTACACAGCGTTTTTAAAACTCCAGTCCAATTCCTGCCCGCCACTCCCTGACTCCACCCTAAATTTAACTGAACTCTTCTCTCTCTAGCAATTGCTACGGTCAGGGAACACCGTCTAATTTGAGTAGCGGCCCCCAAAATTAGAGTAGGTCTACTCTACAGAAGTTGCATGACTCACCAAAACAAAACAAAACTTAAATCTGGAACATTTGTGGTTTCGTTTTACCTGTAACTCATCCTCTACTAGTACATTAAATAAAGGTTTCAGCACGCTTATTTCTAACGTGGCTTAATAACAGGTGGCTAATTAAAAGCGTGATCATCTTGCTGCTATATGCGGCCCAGCACTGTCGATAACAAGATGTATCGGTGATTGATCAAATCAGTTAACAGGCCCGCGGAATGCTGGAGAGAACGGTGGCCAGGGGGCATTGTTACTGTATAAAAACACTTGGCAGGGAGTTTTTTTCAAGCAGCAGCTCTCCTGGGGACAGGTGTTTACAGGTGTTATCTCAGAGGGAAGGCTGAACACATTAAAGCACAGCCCAAAGAAAGACCATCAGCATGGTCATCGCACGGCCGAGACACAGGACCCTCCGGCCGCCCCACAGTCCGGCACACGCCACGGACGCTTGCCTGGCACCTCGTCACTTTCCAGCTGTAGACCAAAATGTTGGGCCTCAGACATTTATTTAAACAGCAAAATTACATCATGACAAAAATAATTTTACCTCGTCCTTACATCGATTTATAGGCAAATCAGGATATTTGTAAGTTGTCTCTGGGACGCATGCCACATTGCTTGATTTAGCCAAAGATGGCCTTGGACCTGTGTTCAAAAAACAAAACAAAACAAAACAAAAAATACTATTACGTGTCTGGAAAAAAAAAACAGTAAACAACCCGAAGTTATGTCTAATCTATAAACCCAGCACGCACGTGTCCACAAATGCAGAAGTACATTCTGCAGGCTAACACCGCAAGCAGCGTAACTAGAAGATTCCCTCCGTACCCGCGATGAATCATTTATACGAGCTGGGCACACTCTTACACCTCCATCACAGCCATCATCGCGGTAGGCCTAGCACCACCTCCTAAGACAAAAGACCTACAAAGCACACGGTGAAAAAGTAACGTGAAAAGTAGTCAAAGGGAACCTCGTGTGGAATGGCATCAGGAGGCGCGCGTGCGCGGGGGAGCCCTCACGCCCACCACTCCCTGCCCACCACAGACCCACAGGAAGAGACGCACCTTGCTCAAGGATACGGTCTTACTCTCCCAGCAGGAAGAAGGAAGATTTCCTCTTCCCCCCGGCAACAGCCCAGCCAATGAGAGTCTGTCCCAGCTCAGCCACTGAGAAACCTCTATACTTCCAATTCCCAGTTTGCTCCGATGGACTTTTTGTTTACAACGGCCCCGCTCTTCCCCTCCCCCTGCCCTCCCAAGAGAGTCTCCTGTCCTTTGTTCTCAGGACTTGCTTTTGGTTTTTTGGTAGCTTGCTTGTCCCGGATTAAAATGATCTGTTCTTCCCAGAGAAATCCCTCTCTCTGCCGGTAAAATAACTGGCAGTTTTATTTTTAAGGTTAACAGTACTAAAATGGTTAAAGAACAGGCGTGATTTGAACTTTCAGTAGAACGCACCGATTCATTAAGGGGTAGCTCCTTACTGCTGAAGTGCACTGGTAGCAGACGAGTGCCGCTCAGGAGCTCCAGGTGCCCTGAAAGGGCGGCCTGACTGCCCACGCAGAGGCCGACTGCGGCACTGACCACTAGCACCCCCTGTAAACAGCCTGTCCGGCCTCGGGTCATGACCTGACGAACTGACAGGCATCCAAATTCACAGGACGCAAGCTTTCGTCGGGAAATAAACTTCTACTTCCAAAACAAACTCTTAAGGCTCCCGCCGCTTCAAAGTTAGAGCTGCTCCCCTTCTTCGGCATCTCTCCCCCGATGCCCGTCTCCCCTTTTCCTCCCAGCCCTTCCCTTCTCTGCCCCAACGTCTCCTCATCCTGTGTTCGGCCACCGTCCTTTCTCACCTGATTCACGTGTTCGCAGTGTCATAACTAATCTAATAATAAATTTAAAAAATATATAGCTATTCTCCTGTATTTGAATCAAAGTGTGTAGCACTTGTTCTGAATTCACAAAACAGAGCAGTCAGACCTGTTACGATCTTTCGGGCGAAGGTCGCTTCTTTGTAGGCAGCAACGCTCTTCCTAGGGCGCCAGGGGCCATGGCCGAAGGAGGACTCCCCAAGCCCTGCCCTCAACAGCTCCAACCAATCTTCCCGTCAGTGCACAGATGGCCACCGGACTCTCAAAAACACGCACCGTCCTTCTGCTGTCCTGTCTTGGCTTTCCTCCCATCACTCCTCTCAGCTTTTACATTTTTTTTTCTATGTTTACTTTTGAGAGACAGAGAGAGAGCGAGCAAGCGTGCACACCAGCGGGGGAGAGGAGAGAGAAGGGGGTGGGGGACAGAGGATCCCAAGAGGGCTCCACGCTGACAGCGGAGAGCCTGATGCAGGGCTCAAACCCACGAACCCTGAGATCACGACCTGAGACAAAGTCAGACGCTCAGCCGACTGAGCCACCCAGGTGCCCTATCTCCTCTCAGCTTTTGAAGAACTCCATCACCAATGCCACCCTGCCTTCCCAGGTGGTACACCTACTCTTGGTCTCACCCCCTCCAGAAGCTCTCTTGACTAAGGAGTCCTTAGAAGTAATTAACCACACTACCTGCCAAACACTGAGTTGGAGCAAAATTTAATGTCTGGAAAGGTCCTACTTTAAAAATGGCTCCAAGGGGCGCCTGGGTGGCGCAGTCGGTTGAGCGTCCGACTTCAGCCAGGTCACGATCTCGCGGTCCGTGAGTTCGAGCCCCGCGTCGGGCTCTGGGCTGATGGCTCAGAGCCTGGAGCCTGTTTCCGATTCTGTGTCTCCCTCTCTCTCTGCCCCTCCCCCGTTCATGCTCTGTCTCTCTCTGTCCCAAAAATAAATAAACGTTGAAAAAAAAAATTAAAAAAAAAGAAAAAATGGCTCCAACAGTTCATTAAGTTATCTGGAATTCTGAATGGTGGCTGGGTATCCAGGCCAGCCCACAAATTAAGAACATAATGTTTACATAAATAGGCGAAAAATGAACACTTTCCCACGCGTGATGCCAGTAGGTTTATCAATGGGCAACAGGCCTTTTTTCACGTACTACAGGAGAGGGATGAGAGTCCACTCGGCAGCAGGGGCTCCGCTGTAAGACGAGACGGAAGAACAAGCAGTGGGAACAGAGGAAGAAGTGGGCAGTGAGAAGCGCGGGGGGACTCAGAAGCACAGAAAGGCAGCAGCCGTGTCGTTTGCCAAGCGACTTTAAGACGCGGTTCGCCGTGCTGCTGACCGAGCCATTACTTGGACACCACTGATGTGACTTACGTTCCTTGATTACGTGCATTTTGAAGGTTGTTACTTAAAGACAGAAGCTGTACAAGAAGAGAATTCTGAAAGTCTTAACTCTACCGTCCAATCCCTACGCCTTCCTCCACGGAACACAAACACGGCTGGACGTTTCTAGGTCACTGGCTGAAGCACACCCGGCACAAATCAAGTCCTGCCTCCACGTCCACCGCCACAGGGGACAGGAAACCAAACAGGGAGATGTTCGTGGTCACAAGGCTCTCTCATCTGTACATCAGCAACAAAGGGAGGTGACCAGGCAAAGCATCATGATTAAGTTCTAAGAAAACAAAATGGATAATTCAGGGCATATCAGCAAACTATATATGACAAAGTATAATCCAAAAGTGCCGTGAGAAATACCTCAACCTCACAATTCGCTATTTTTATTTCCTGTTATCTTTTTACCCTGAGTTATTAACATTAAAATGTTTTTACGTGAACTGGAAAAAAACTAGAAACCGCTAGTTTCTCTTCACTAAGCCACATCACTCCAACCTATGGCTTCCACAGTCACATCTCCTCCTACTGATTGCGACCCTCCTGCCCCCTCTTGTAAGAACCCTGTGATCACACAGGGCCCGCCGGGACAGTCTCCCCCTCGCCATTTGACTGTGACTTAATCACAGTTGCAAGGATTCTTCTTCCTGTGAGCTAACACAGTCACAGGTTCTGGGGCTTAGGATCGGACCTCTTCAGGGGGCCTATTATCCAGCCTACAACTGTCTGTGCCCAGGCCTGCCCAACCCCACTCTCGATTCTCCGACAACAACGCCCATTTCAAGTCTGGGGCACCAGGGTTTCGTCCGCCACAGACCCCCGGCGCACGTTCCCTCCTCCCTGATCCCCATGCTGCCCGGTAACGTCTATCATCCGTCAGCTCTAAGCTCAACTGTTAACTTTCCCGATACCCCAGCTCAAGTCAGAAACCCTGGTCTCAGGCCCCCATACAGCTGTCTTTCAGAGCACTCACCTCCACAAGCATGAATCTGCGTAACTACATGATTAAATGATAATCTCTGCGAGGGGAGGGACCGAGTCTTACTACTTACCATAGTCCCAGGCCTCACACAGTCCCTGGCACACACCTTGATAAACACTGGTTGTTGAATGAATCCTTGGAATACAGCCAAAGCTATAATTTATGTAACTGCCTGGTGAAAAGTTCCAAAGGCATTAAAATGCCAGGGACAGAGAAAGCAAACAGTTCCAAATCTTAATCCAAATCAAAAGTTACTAGAGCAGATGCCTCCAACTGCAGGCATTCAATCGTAACCTCGCTACTTTCCAGCAGCGGCAATCCCGTGTGGCATGCTCCAGGAGTGGCAGACGGCGTGCCCCAGGTCAGGCCATACGGGCGTAACAAGAAGGATCGCATCACACAGTCATCTGAGAACGAACGCGCCTCCGCAAAGGGAAATACGAGCTGATGGAGGTCTCTGCACAGTAACACGCACACGGCTCCTTCGTGCTTCTACTGGACCGCACTGTGCTCTGCTACACAGGCAAAATCGCCAATCCCTGTCCGCTGACATTCATGAGACCTCCGAGGCTCCCCACAGATTAGCAATGAAGCAATCGATGCTCGGCCACGTCCAGCTCTGTATTTTTAGCAGAGGTACGCACTGGACCAAGGGGCGCACACACTTTCAACTATCACTTCTGATGTTAACCTACCAGACCGTCCAGACAGCTATTCCTCCTGAGGGAGCTAAAGACAGTCGCTGAAATATACAAACAACACCTAATGAGGCAACACCAGGCTGAAGCCGACAGCAAGGCAAGAACACACACACAAAGGCAAAGAACTCCATGAGCTTTTGCTTTAAGGTGAAACATAAACCATGAGAAATAACCTGAATCTATGTAGGGACCCAAACAATGAGAAAACAAAACGGAATGAGACAGTGCGGTGGGGCGCCTGGGTGGTTAAGCGTCCGACTCGTGGTTTCAGCTGAAGTCATGATCTCAAGGTTCATGGGTTTGAGCCCCGCATCGGGCTCTGTGCTACAGCTCAGGCTGGAGCCTGCTTCGGATTCTGTGCCTCACTCTCTCTCTGACCCTCCCCACTCATTCTCTCTCTCCCTCTCTCTCAAAAATAAACATTAAAAAAAATGAAAACAAAAGAACAGACTATTTAAGAACTACGTTTAAAAGAGAAAAAAAACAGGGGCACCTAGGTGGCTCAGTCAGTTAAGCATCTGACTTCAGCTCAGGTCATGATCTCACGGTTCGTGGGTTCGAGCCCCACGTCGGGCTCTGTGCTGACAGCTCAGAGCCTGGAGCCTGTTTTGGATTCTGTGTCTCCCTCTCTCTCTGACCCTCCCCCCCGTTCATGCTCTCTGTCTCAAAAATAAATAAACGTTAAAAAAAATTTTTTTTAATAAAATAAAAAAAATAAATAGAATTTAAAAAATAAAAGAAAAAACAGAGCACTTGTGTGGCTCAGTTAGTTGAGTGTCCAACTCTTGATTTTGGCTCAGGTCACCGTTCATGAGTTCAAGCCCCACAACGGGCTCTGCCCTGACAACACAGAGCCTGCCTGGGCTTCTCTCTCTGCCCCTCCCCAGCTCGCATGCGTGCGTGCTCTCAAAATAAACTTTTTAAAAAAAAGAGAGAGAAAAGTGACTATTTTACAACCCAACATATACTCACCCACTCAAAAACACATCTTGAATTAACAAGCAATATGGATTCTTTGTTGACCAAAATATCACATTTCTTAAAAACTTTAAAGAATGTAACACTTTAACCTGTAAATAACTCATGCAGCAGATTTTAAATATTTAAAAATACCCATTTACCTGGCCTACTGGTTGACTGATCACTGCCACACATATCAAATTCTTGTGCTTCAAGCTGTCTGTATTTGTCAATATACTCCATTTCTGAGCTCTTTCGGCTAAGTGGCCTAAAAAGAATATTAAACGTTAATATGCTATTTCCAAACAGCCAAGAAATCCCACGTGCTAGAAGAATTCTTGAATAGTTACTTCTACTTAAGTCAGAGAAGAAAACACGCTAATGGTCATTCAACAAATGCAAATAAAGGGCACCTGGGTGTCTCAGTCGGTTAAGTGTCTGACTTCAGCTCCGGTCATGATCTCACAGTTCATGAGTTTGAGCCCCGCATCAGGTTCTGTGCTGACAGCTTGGAGCCTGCTATGGATTCCGTGTCTCCCTCTCTCTCTGCCCTTCTCTTTCTCTCTCTCCCCCCCAAAAATCAACATTAAAAAAAAGTTTTTCTTCAAATGCAAATACGCTCAACTCCCCATCTTCTGGCCACCCAAGTGCAAATCGAAGCAGGGAGAAACTGGACACCTGGGTGGCACAGTCGGCTGAGCATCTGACTCTTGATGTCGGCTCAGGTCATGATCTCATGGTTCATGAGTTCAAGCCCCACGTCGGGCTCCACGTTGACAGTGGAGCCTGCTTGGAATTCTCTCAGCCCTTCCCCTGCTCGTACTCTCTCTCCAAAAAAAATTTTTAATTAAAAAAATAGAAGAGTTAGAGGCCAGTATTTCCCCCTTCATATCAGCAGAAGACTGAATATCCTTAGACCACTGCAGGGAGTGGTAAATGAGTTAAGACTTTTGTTATTCTGAAAGGCAACCAGCCAGTATCTGAACCAAAATTTTCCCCTCAGTGTCTTCCGTAGAGCAGTATTTCAACATGCAGACAAGGAAGCACGTGCATGGACATGGGAGCATTCATTTAGTCAGCAAATATCTACCGAACACCCAGCACATCGGAGGAACTTAGACACTAGAGGCGCAGCAGTAAACAAAACAAGCTCCTTGCCCTCATGAAAGTGTCGTCTAGTGAAGGAGACGTAACAGATACAGACACTCACCAGTGATATGGAGGTACAAGTTTAAAGCTAAGGGTATGGAGAACTCCAGGGAGAGAAGGTACCTTTGGACGATGTTTGTAATGGTTAAAACCTGAAAACAAATGTCAGAGGGAGGGCCAAGCCACGGCACGCTCCTACTCAGCGTGCATCTTTTTAAGGATGGCCAGGGCCATCTTCACGCTAATAGGCAAACATGTCCAAGATGTTAATTAAAAAAAAAAAGGCAACTGCTGTGTGATATGCAAAATATGCTACCAATTATGTCTGCATTATCCGCATCTAATTTAATCGCCCTGCCGTCAGAAAGAAGACTGCACAATACCAATTCTTGAAATTTGAGGTTTACTTTAATAAAACGCTATTTGCCTCGAAGCCTACTCTTGCCTGCTATTAATAGTTACATCAACATTCTTTTGGTTACTGTTTACCTGATATTTACTCATTAATCCACTGAGCAAATTAATATTCAAGGCTGCCTCCGTGCCAGGCGCTGTTTTAAGCACTTGGGATAAAGCGGCTGGCAGACAGTCCTCATGGAGTTTACAGTCTAGTTGGGAGAAGAAAAATAAAGTAAAACATAGAACACGTCATTCAGAGATGAGCCCACAGAGAAAAATACCTGTGCAGCCAGGAGAGGAGATGGGGCGAGGGCGGCTGCAATATTAATAGGATGATAAGGCAACAATAAAGCAAAGATCAGCGGAAAGAAAGAGAAGGGCCATGCAGCCCTGGAGGGGAAAGATCTCCTGAACAAGGACACAGGAAATGCCAGCCTTGAGGCAAGTGTGCCACAAGAGGCGGGAGGCGGAGGCAGCCCAGGAGAAGGGTGGGGGGCCCAGAGGTACGGGGAACAGGAGTTGGTTAGCGGGAAGGGCAGGAGGTAGGCTGCCGGCAGGGACGAATTAATGAGATTTGGGCTTTTGCTCTGAGGGAGATGGGTTTTGAGCCAGGACAGACAAGCAGCAACATCAAACTCCTATTTTAACAGGACGGCTCAGACCGGGTGAAGCGGGGTGCGGTGACAGGGGTGGGTACTCAGAAGCGGGGAGACCGCCGAACACAGGAGCACAGTAACCAAGGCCAGAGACAACGGGGCTCGGACCAGAGTGGCAACCGTGAGGGGGGAGCCACTCGAACGTGCTGGCATGGGGACGCCTGGCTGGCCCAGTTGGTGGAGCGTGTGGCTCTTGATCTTGGGGTTGTGAGTTCGAGCCCCGTGCAGGGTTTGGAGATTACTTATAAATAATATCTTTAAAGAATACGTATGCCGGCATGCTAGATCTGGGTATGAAAACACAGGAGTCGAGAACGTTTCCCCAGTTCCAGCTCCTGGGAAGACCAAACGAGCACACCACACTCTGTGCCTCAAAATGAAGCCAGAAAGCCAGGACAGGGCACGTGAGCTGTTACCAGAGTCCCTGAAAGCACAGTACTGGGCAGATGGGAGAAAACGACCAGAATTCAGAGCGGCGGCAAGCAAACCAGAGATGCATCTGCAATCACTTAACTCTGCCGTCCCCAAGTGCAGACACAGCACGGGCACAGACAGGGCGCCCCAGAAGCAGTTCTCGTGCTTCAGGGAGGAGAGGGGACCCCACATGTTCAAAGTGAAGGCAGTCCCCAGATTTTGTGTTTCCAGGGGTCAGCAAGAGCCTCAAACTCTAAGGAGGGGAGACATCCTCTCCCAGAGGGTAGGGTGGACCCTCACTGCCTTCTTTCCTCCAGGGTCCTCCCATCGCTTGGCCCTGAATGTGAACGCCGGCAGCTGAACCGGCAGGAAGCGCATGGTGAAGCAGGGCAATAAAGCCGCAGGCTTGGGGCCGGGAGCTGCCTCAGGGACAGGAGAGCACCTGGGGAAGCGAGACCCCCAAGGCCGTCCAGAAGCCACTGGGCCATACAAGCATGCGCTGACCCCAAAGAGCCCACCACGGACTGATGACTGAGGGCTGAGCTCCAGGATGGCCAACAGGTGGCACCCTGTAGGACAGACCGGGTGGCGCCGCGAGGGCTCTGAAAACCGGAGAGATCCCGACACCTCACACAAGGCTGGCGGGAATTTGCCACCCGAACACAGCTGCTCAGCTGCAATCCCCGGAAGATTTAAACAAGCCCCCGGGTCCCGTAATACAGCATTCAAGATGCCCAGGACACACACAACTACCCAGCACGCGAAGACCCGGGAAAATCTCCAGGCTGGAGCGATGGCCACGTAGTTGGACACTGGCTATCCAACTTGGGTGTCCGACCCTACACCTCACACCAACCTTAAATCACTTCCAAACCCATTCAACCACCCAGACACCTGCTTTTTTACACCTGTAAAGCTAATGTTCTCCTACACTTGATAATCTGGAATAGAGAAGCCTTCATAAACAAGAGCACAAAAAAAGAACAGTCAAAAACGAAAACATCAATAAACTAACGTAAACTGTAAAACCTAAAGCTTATGAACAAGGGGCGCCTGGGTGGCTCAGCGGTTGAGCGGCCGACTTCGGCCCAGGTCATGATCTCACGGTTCATGAATTCGAGCCTTGTGTTGGGTTGTGCTGACAGCTCGGAGCCTGGAGCCTGGAGCCTGCTTCAGATTCTGTGTCTCCCTCTCTCTCTGTTCTCCCCTACTCACACTCTGTCTCTCTCAAAAAATAAATAAACATTAAAAAAATTTTTTAAAAAATGTCGGGCGCCCCGCAGCCTCAGTCAATTAAGCAGCCGACTTTGACTCAGGGCATGATCTCGTGGTTCATGAGTTTCAGCCCTGCGTCGGGCTCTGTGCTGACAGCTCGGAGCCTAGAGCCTGCTTCCGATTCTGGGTCTCCCTCTCTCTTTGCCCCTCCCCTGCTCGTGCTCTGTCTCTCAAAAATAAACAAACATTAAAAAAAAATACACGCATTAGTGTGTTTTAATTAAAATGATTTTATCAACTGCATCTCTAACAGCCGAAAGACAGAAGCAGCAGCGATCCAGGATTTTAAACCGAGTAGCAAAGGAATTAAAAGCAGAGGGCCGGGCCACCAGGCTCCTCCCGGTGAGGAATCCTCCCTGCGCCGCTATCAAATGCTGCCGAGCACTATCGAGGCCCCGACTATAAACACGAACACTTGTCCCTGGCTCCTCAGCTTGCCCTCAGGTTTCCAAAATTTTGTTTTTCCAGACTTATTTTCTTATGCACTTCTCTACACACCTTAGAAGTTTATATGCTCACCCTGTAAATGTTACAGTGCGATCTCACAGTGAGTATGAGAGATGGTACAATCTTCAGCTAACAAGACGCAGCCTGGAAAATTGTGACAGTGACCAAAAGAAACTGGCCAGTATCACAGTTTAAGCTTTCTGTCTCCCACACAAAATGCCTGGAGGCTGCAGTTCCTCAGAAACTCATTTGTTCAACGTACTAAAATGTTTAATAAAATCCAAGTTAGGGGCGCCTGGATGGCTCAGTCGGTTAAGCGTCCGACTTTAGCTCGGGTCATGATCTCGCAGGCAGTGAGTTCGCGCCCCATGTCGGGCTCTGTGCTGACAGCTCAGAGCCCGGAGCCTGCTTCGCATTCTGTGTCTCCCTCTCTCTCCGCCCCTCCCCTGCTCGTGCTCTGTGTCTCTCTCTCATAACTAAACGTTAAAAAAATTTTTGTTTTAATCCAAGTTAATCTGGTTATAGCTTAATAAACAGAAAGGATTAACATGAAGGTACTTTCTCCACAAATCCTGATCCACGGATATTTCTGGTGTCCATCTACAAGGTAGCAGGGGCACGACTGTACTGATACTTGAGTTCTACTTCAATCAAATAATCTCAGGAGATAGGACAGAAAACATACCGGTGACAATAATATAAGCAGCACAGCCTGAGCACCAGAAACGCAGGCTCACACACGGAAGATGGAAGGGAGGTGCGTGGAATGGAAGCTGAGCCGTAAGAGAAACTGTGAGGGCTACACCTGAGCAGGCGCCACAGGGGCAGCACAGGCGCCAGAGAAGTCTGCGGCGGGGGGTGTCTTTGAGAAGCTCTTTGCGCAGCAGGCTCACTGATCTTCAAATCTCCCAAGGACACCACCACCCCCCCCCCAGCCCCGAAAAGGCCTTCCCCGACCTCCACAACAAACTACAAAGTGAATAAAGAACTACAAAGTGGTGGGGCGCCTGGGTGGCTCAGTCGGTTAAGCGTCCGACTTCAGCTCAGGTCACGATCTCGCGGTCCGTGAGTTCGAGCCCCGTGTCAGGCTCTGGGCTGATGGCTCCGAGCCTGGAGCCTGCTTCCGATTCTGTGTCTCCCTCTCTCTCTGCCCCTCCCCCGTTCATGCTCTGTCTCTCTCTGTCCCAAAAATAAATAAATGTTAAAAAAAAATTAAAAAAAAAAAAAAGAACTACAAAGTGGATAAACGGAAAAGAGAGAGAATGAACATCTCAGAAGACAGAGTCTGTGTGAGCAACTCTGAGGGCAGAGGGAACACGACGACACGTGTCGGGAAGACACGCTCCGGGGCAGCGCCGGCAGGAAGGGGAAGGAAGCCACAGAAGGCCCCAAAAAGAAACGTGGCTCGTGTTCCACAGCCGCTATACTTCCGACGTTGCCGTCACCATCGCAGAGGCAAAAACTGTTTAAATTAAAGCAACAGCAAGGAGGTTATTCGAAGGGAGAAGTGTCAGGATTCATCGTAACTTCGGCAGAAAATCTGCGAGGACGTTTCTGTCCTGCCGAACTCGACTGCTTCCGTTCTCAGAGCGCCGCACACGATGCGATGTGAAAACCTGCCCGGTGAAGATGATGGATGCCGACAGCGGGCCACTTCTCACGTGTAAGGAACAGGGCTGTAGGCTGACCGCACACGTCACTCTTCATCACGCGTGACAAGCGGGTCTGATGGGAACCATGTCCATTCTTCACAGTTCATTTGAAGGAAAAGGCAACAGAAGAAACAAGTGGTATGAAAGGAAAAGCCGCTACGTAGTCACCGAACACAGAAGCAGAGAGTAAAAGACCTGTCTGCCCTTCAGCCAGAGACCCGCGGCCCCTGAAGGAAAGACCATCCCGCATCGCATCGCATCGCATCGGCCCTCGCCCCAACGGTAAGTGTGTTTTACCCTCGGCTCCAAAAGAAAACACTGCCATCGTCTTCTGTAGAATGAATTACAAGGTTTCGTTCTCAATTTCTCATGCTCTTAGATCTCTCTTTTCCCCTACCCTTACTCTATTATTACGGTTTTTCAAGAGAGTATAAACTATATTGTCAAGTCACCTACTTCAGCATTTACGTCCTCCGGCCTCACAACTGGCTCCAGCATACAAATTTCACTACCAGTTAGAGAAACGAGATGAATACAGAAAATAATCCTGACTAAACAGTCCACCTAGGACTGATACCAGCATTCTTCGCCTCTTTTGCTCCATCGTAACGAATTTCCTCAGGATGGATATTTTGCAAATCGTCAAGACTGATCTGTTTTTTCTGCTCTCATTAGAGGGGACAGTGACCTGGCTTCTAGATGGCCTGAAAGTTAAGCAGAAGAATTAAAGCAGCGTGGTTATTTTTAGCTCTCTACAGGCATAAAAATACAGCCCTGAGCTGTGACCCACAGCAGAACATCACAGCACGCACCGTCCCCCCCGGTAGCTGGGAGCACGGCCCTGGTGCCTCCCGGTGCCGCTCCTCGCTGCATCACCGGAGCCGAGTCGGAGTGCATTTAGGACCAGAGCCTGTGGCTGCCGGCATCTTTTTCAAACAGACGGAGCTACGTTCAAAAGGCAGACCGTTATATAATTTGTGAAGATTAAACAGTAAGTTATTTTTGTCACTTCTTCTAGCTCACTTACAAGGTGAATTAATGAGCCTTCTCTCTAAATGAAGACATCACAACCTCATTCCTAACACAGAAATTGATTTATTTCAAATACAGTTTCAGTGGGTAAATAAGGAGGTTCATTCCTTCCAACAGGGAACGCATCCGGAAGAACAATATACGCCCAAGAAAAACATAGCCTCGTCACTAATTCAAGCAAACTCTTTGGCAACATCACCACATCGGATCCATCAACTTACCAGGTACGCTTTAAACCTTTTCTGCGCAAAACCTAAGTCAAAAGTGTGTGTGTAGGTAGAGCTTTCCTATACGTTAATGTTTTAAAGCCTCCTAAGAACTTTTAATAGCAAGTGCCAGTGTTATTTTCAGAAAATGTTCAGTCTGGAGATTATCTCTGACTTTGTATATTTCACTTCTGCTTAGCTACATAATGTGTTTTCAAAGCTTGGTTTTTGGTACTGACCTAGTTAGAAATTAAAAGACTTTAATCCACATTCTAATCTCGTTTTGACCTGCATATCTAACCAGTGAAAAATTCACGCAGTTTCTGGCAAATTTACTGAAAAGAAACAGATGTGCTGATCAGAACCGCAACATTTTATACAAATAAACAAGTGAGAATGTTCCCATAGGCTGAGCATGCCACTTTTTGGCTGGATGAAATGGCCAAAATACGATGCCTACAAACCCGCACACTGTCCTGGCTCAGATGTGGTGACAAAGACCCTGCTTCGGGAATTAAAGTGGCATCTGAAGGAGCGAGAGAGACTAATACAAGAGATTGAAAATGAACAAAAAGTAAAAAAAACAGGAGTGGATTACAACTGGCTGAGAAACCACCAGAACCCCCACATGACCATCCCGGCTACTGAACAAAGACAACTTGAAGTCCTTTGCTCACAAGTTCAACCTTGTCAGACCGGAACTATTCTCAGCAGGTAAAAATACTATGTTCTCTTTTGTGATTATCTGCTGCTGTCAAGTCTAAGGTCTTCATATATCTAGACTGGAAATTGTATTCTATCGGGTACATACTTTAATCACGTGCATCAAAAACCCAAAACCAAAATCCCCAAGGATAGGCTGGACAAAAATATCTTACTGGAAATATTTTTAAGTCACAGAGAATGTCTTTCCTAGAAGCGTAATTTTAAAGGGATGAGCAGATTATTCAAAAGGTAACTACTATGCAATTACATTATTTCAGCTATATTTCAGAGATAAATGAATATGCACAGAAGGGAGTTTCTGAATTGAATATTCATTACTGCTTTCCCTCTAGATTTCGAGAAGTTTTAGCAGAAAATGATGTACTGCCATGGGAAATAGTCTACATCTTCAAGCAAGTTCTGAAAGACTTCCTAAACAGTGCTGACAAAGGCAACCAGCAGGAAGGCCTGGAAGAGTCAACGAACACAGACTGTCCTGTTCCTTCTGTGATGCCAGGCTCAAGCTCCAAGAGTTCAGACAAAGACGAAATACCCACTATTTCCAGTTACGTGGACAAAACCACAAAGAACAGGTTCCCAGCATTCTCACACAGAATATGGAACCTACCATATTATTACCCATCAAGTTAAGTTACTTATAACCAGAGGAGTTTCTATGACCACTTTTAGAAGCAGAACTCTTAATATTAAAAGAAAAAGTGATGTGATTTCATGTTTTGTTGCAAAGTCAGATGTTACGTAGTGTTTAACTCTGCATCCTAGGTTTTAAGTAGTGTTCCTTTTTTAACCACTCTACAAATGCAATGTTTTATTAAACAGTCTACTTTTAACTAAAATGGTTCCAAATATTTTGAAAAAAATGTTTGAAGTATTTTCTTATACCTCAAACATCTCTCACAGGAACATAGGCATTTTATTTAGTATGAAACTGGACAAATTCTGTGTGGAAATTAGACATTAACCTTGACTTTTATTCTGAAAGGAAGCTGTATAGAATAAAATAAATGACTGATGTGAATCTTACTTTTACAATAAAACACGGAGCGGCCTCCAGTCATAATCAGCGGGGAAGGGAGGATGGGCAGTCACAGAGAAGATAATGTGTAAAGACTAAGTGATGCTTTACTCCAACACTCAGATTTGTTACTAATTACAATATTTTTAAATCGCAACTAACGTTAAGGAAAGGCGTGAAAAAGAAACAGGGACATCTGGGTAGCTCAGTCGGTTGAGCATCCGACCTCGGCTAAGGCCATGATCTTGCAGTCTGTGAGTTCGAGCCCCACATCGGGCTTGCTGCTGTCAGTGCAGAGCCCACTTTGAATCCTTTGTCTCCCTCTCTCTGCTCCTGCCCTGCTTGTGTGCACATGCTGGCTCGCTCTCTCAAAAATAAATAAAACATTTTATAAATAAATAAATACGACAGATAAATAAATAAATAAATAAATAAATAGAGCACTATATTATATCAATAAAGAGAAACAGACTGGGTTCATTTAAGATGGCAAATATTCAGGGTGCCTGGTGGCTCAGTCAGTTAAGCAGCTGACTCTTGATTTCGGCCCAGGTCATGATCTCTTGGTTTGTGAGTTCAAGCCTCACATCTCGCTCTACACGGACAGTGCAGAACCTGCTTGGGATTCTCTCTTCCTCTCTTTCTGCCCCTCCCCACTCACGCTTGCTCGCTCACTCTGCCTCCCTCCCTCCCTCTCAAAATAAATAAAATAAATACCTAATATTTAATATGCAAAATTCAACATTTCATAATTTCATTCAAGGAGAAAACTCATCATTGGGGTTTTTTTATTAAGTGCTAGAATCTTTATCACTTTTTTTTTAATTTTTTTTTTTCAACGTTTATTTATTTTTGGGACAGAGAGAGACAGAGCATGAACGGGGGAGGGGCAGAGAGAGAGGGAGACACAGAATCGGAAACAGGCTCCAGGCTCTGAGCCATCAGCCCAGAGCCCGACGCGGGGCTCGAACCCACGGACTGTGAGATCGTGACCTGGCTGAAGTCGGACGCTTAACCGACTGCGCCACCCAGGCGCCCCTATCACTTTTTTTTAATGTTTATTTATTTTTGAGAGACAGAGACAGAGCATGAGTGGGGGAGGAGCAGAGAGAGAGGGAGAGACAGAATCTGAAGCAAGCTCCAGGCTCTGAGCTGTCAGCACAGAGCGCGACGCGGGGCTCGAACCCATGAACCATGAGATCATGACCTGAGCTGAAGCTGGACGCTTAACCGACTAAGCCACCTAGGCTCCCCTAGAATTTTTATCACTCTTAAAAGTAAGTCCAAGGAACCCAATGTTTACAACTTTACACTTGGGATTTTATCGTTTTCTTCCATCTAAAAGGAAAACATATTCAGGACCAGAACTGAATACACACCCCAAACAAACCCTTTTGACCTGTTTTCTCCTGTACTCTCAGACAACATCCACAGCATCCTGAGCAGGCTTCAACTTGGTCTTTAATCCTAACCATGCAGTGAATGGTGTCAACCCAACCAGGGTTTAATAAGACAAGGTAAGGGGAAACACAGCTCTAAGTGGATCTGAAATAGACCCCTCTCGTTCCTGTTCCCTTGTGGTTCTGTGTTCACAAGCTAACTAGCAAGGGCTCTTCCAGCACTGAGAAATTTGAATGGAAACTATTTGTGGGAGAGCTGACTGTCCCCAGAAGTGCATAACTGCTTATTATCCAGTGAATACAGAAAACAGCACACAAAAGTTTTCATATTATCACCTTAATGGTGGGAACAAAATGTCTGTTTTAAACAGCTTGGAGTGGTCTATGATGCAGCCCCAGAAGTGGCAACCTCACCATGCAGATGAGGAAATATACACCACAAAGAGACCCAGAACACTCCATTCTTTCCCCCCCCCCCCCCCAGGGCACCTTAATCAGCCACCACACAAAAGAAATGACCAAGCACATGCCTTTGGAGATGGCCACTCTCCCTGTCCAGACAGGAAGAAGAGGACGGTCTTCAGTCCCCGCTGTCAGAAGCTTCCTACGACTGAAAAAGCTACAGACACTTCGGTGACCCACTAGTCCAAGAGGAAAATGAACCCATGCTGCTCTAAGTTGCCCACGATGCAGTCAATTCCACAGCCAGACTTTAAAGAGAAATGGAGGGGCGCCTGGGTCACTCAGTTGGTTAAGCGCCCAACTTCAGCACAGGTCATGATCTCATCGTTCATGGGTTCGAGCCCCAAGGTGGGCTCTGTGCTGCCAGCTCAGAGCCTGGAGCCTGCTTCAGATTCTGTGTCTCCTTCTCCCTCGGCCCCTTCCCCGCTCACATTCCGTCTCTCTCTCTCTCTCAAAAATTAACATTAAAAAAAAAATCTTAAGGGGCACCTGGGTGGCTCACTCAGTTAAGCCTCTGACGCTTGGTTTCAGCTCAGATCATGATCTCACGGTTCAGGGGTTCAAGCCCCACATCGGGCTCTGCGCTCATGGTGCAGAGCCTACTTGGGATTCTCTTTCTCTTTCTCCCTCTCTCTCTGCTACTCCACTTGTACTGTCTCTGTCTCTCTCAAAATTAAATAAACTTAAAAAAAACTTTTATATAGAAGTAAATAAACAGGAATGGAAAAAATACACTGCATTTTGGTAGACAGAATCTCTCTGTTTTGGCAATAGCGTAACAACCATGGTTCCTGTGAGAGCACTGGTGTATGTAATTTAAAACTACAGTTGTTTAGAGGCTCCTGGGTAGCTCAGTCAGTTAAACATCTGACTCTTGGTTACAGCTCAGGTGGAGCTCCACCTCAGGATCTGTGCTGACAGGGCGGAACCTGCTTGGGATTCTCTCTCTCCCTCTCTCTCAAAATAAACTTCAAAAAAAAAAAAACCTACAGTTGTTGCTCAAAAATCTACAAATCAAATAGAAATTTTAACACAAATAACTTCCTAAATATTAACAGATCTCATTCCATACATTGGCCTGTTTCTAAAACCGGCAAGAAAATGAGGGTCAAAAACATTAGGGGGTGCAAATGGGGGGAAGAACTACCAGGAAGGCTTTAGGCATGTTTTATAAAGAGAAAGTATTGGCTCAGTGGCTAAAAGCTTTGGCTAGAAAATACTAAAGTGCGGGGCGGGGGGGGAGGGCCGGTGTGGCTCAGTCGATTGGGTGTCCAACTTCAGCTCAGGTCATGATACGGTTTGTGAGTTCGAGCCCCACATCGGGCTCTGTGCTGACAGCTTGGTGCCTGGAGCCTGCTTCAGACTCTCTGTGTCCTTCCTCTCTGCCCCTCCCCGACTCGTGTGTGCACTCTCTCCTTCTCTCTCTCTCTCTCAAAAATAAATAAATGTAAAAAAAATAGTGAGGTGCAATATACATTAATCCACATAAAAGTACTCTGTGTATCTGACACATCATAAGCTCTCAAAAGTTAGCAGATTTTTTTAAATGTTTGTTTTTGAGAGAAAGAGAGAGCACACTCACATGGGAGGGGCAGACAGAGGGAGGGACAGAGGATCTGAACTGGGCTCTGTGCTAACAGCGCAGAGCCCAATGTAGGGCTCAAATTCATGGGCCATGAGATCATGACCTGAGCCAAAGTCGGATTCTTAACCGACTGAGCTACCCAGGCGTCCCTCAGAACTGAGCATTATTTAACCAGCCCAATCCATTTAGTAGCGTTTAAGTCATTCTTTCACATGCCAGGTGCTGTGTGCAAAGCACTGTATACATATACTCATTTAATCCTTTCCTTGAAAGTGGTATCACTCCCACTCGACACATGAACAAACAGCCTCAGACAAGTTCAATGGCTGTCCAACGTCAGTGAACAACAAGGCAGGGACTGGCATCTGTCGGGTCCCTGCACTGTGTCCAGCCCCAACTTAACCTCTGAGCTCCAAATGCATACAGTCAGTTGTTCACCTGACACCTCCTCTTGGATGCCCACAGGTAACCAAGGTCACAGAGATTTGTTTTCTAAAAGGATAAATACAAATCAAGAAAAGGAACAAAGGAATCAAAGCAACACATGTACACACAAAAAAGCACAGCTCTTTAGACACTTCAGCTCAGTAAACAACAATGCCACCAAGCCATCCAATTCTTAGAGAATCCCAGAGCCAGAAATCTCAGAATCATTCTCGATGGTGGAGGGACCAAAAACACATCACAAAGACGACTTGGGGCACATGGTAAGTGCTTTAGAGGAGAAAACAATGTTGAGAGAGACTACAGAGATGGAGACAGGAGGTGTGGGAGGATTTGTGCAGCTGTGGAGGCCACAGGAGGCCCGTACAAGGAGCAGACATCAGGACAGAGCCCGGAATGATGAAGGCGGTCCCAGGAAGAAACAAAGCAGAGGGAGACGGAAAAGGGCAGGCACTCTGGGAAGAAGAGTAGAGACAGAAGCCCCAAGGTGGAAGTGAGTTTGGGGTCTTCAAGACACAGAAAAAATAAATGCCAATGTGGCCAGAGGGCAGCAGCAGATTAGGCAGATGTCAGCTGGAGGAAAGCTCGGTTAGTCATAACAGAGTCTACATTTTATTCTAATGACAATCTAGCCACAGATAGTTGCACACGTACTCAAAAAACCTTAGATGTGAGTGTTGACTCAAGAATTTGCTCATTTACCAAACATTAACCGATCATCCACTTCGTGCCAGGCATTCTTCTAGGTGCTAGAATATTCGGGGGGCAAGGATGGGAAGCGAGGAGAATAAAAATAGAAGGCTTTTGCAATAATGCAGGAAAGAGAGGATGGTTCATCTAGGCCAGGTTGGTGAAAGCACAAACGGGGAAGTGCACTCTTATTCTGGAAACATCTGCCAGGATATTCTAATTTTCATCGGTATACACACACACACACACACACACACACACACACACCCCTTAGGGAAATCAGCTGCGGTCAGAGGCGTATGACAGATTTCACAATTCAGTCAAAGCAGGAGCAGATAAGGAAGCCATACTCATTTCTAGCATATCATAAGACCTCAAGAATTGGGACCTACCAAGGCAGTCCATTCATGCAGATACCTGGG